AGCTGTGAATAGTAAGCAGCATCAGGCACTAGATCCAAGGAATACTGCACTTTCCCTGGTTATGCTTCAAAAGATTTTGGAAACCTCAGAACATCTCCTGGTTTTTGGCTGTGAACTCCCACCTGAGAAGTAGCAGCCACCTTTCTGAGAAGGACAGAAGGATAGGAGACTGCCTGGCTGCTGTGGCCACTACTGTAGGGACACAAAACCTCCTTTCTGCATCTCAGAGGCCCTTTGCTAATCCTGTGGATGGTAATGCTTTTCTGCTCAGGAAAATAAGCAAACTCTCTCAACTGCTCCTCCCTTCCCAGGAGCCACTCTAACCACTGTAATGACAACCAGGAAGCCCTAGAAGACTATGGATTTTGTTACAAGCCTGTTATAAATCCATACAAGTCTTCTCAGCTGCATTATCCACATTTTAAGCCCCTTATTCGTGTAAGGGCATCCCAGCACAGCAGTTGTATTGCTACACTCACTGAGTTTGAATCTTGCAAGACTCAAGCAGGGAATCCACAGATGCAGGCACTTCATCTGATACCTAACCTGCCTATTCAGAAGATGACGGTAAATGTGTCTCTTCTCTCTGACTCTCCAATGACCACTTCTTCCCCAATATTACTCCTGTCGTATCACCTTATGGGTATAAGTACCAAGCATACAATGAGATGATTCACAAAGATCAGAGAGGGAAATCTTAACTCAGATTCATTTTGCTGAGCTTTAAGCTTTTATTTTATATTAATGGGTCATTTTAGAAATAGCCTTAATTTTCACTGTTTGAAGATGAAAAATAGATGAAGGGTAGTCATAGTCATAAGTTGAATAATAAAGGGCTCATATGGTTACATAGCACTGTTATTAGTTAATATCCAGAATAGGCAAAACTACCTACAAGTTGTAACGACTGATGAACAAAAGATAATGCCAATATATTTGATTTATATATAATGTTCTATCTACTGAGCAAACTATTAAAAGAAGGAATAGAGTAGAATTAGATTAAGAGTTTGTATCCTGTAAGAAATCCAGCATTTGCCTCTGTCCTAAATTTGGATGAAAGGATTAGTTAGGATTTCCATGGGATAGTAATTTAAAAAGTTTTAATTCAGAAACATCCATAACACATTCTCTTTCATGTAACAGATCTGTTCCATTACATTCAACTAATATGAAAATCTTGGTTTCAAATCAGATCTCTCTTAAGCACCACTGAAGCAGCACACTTCAACATGCTCAAAACTCAGATCCTCTCCTACTTCACTCGATTGCACTTTCCACAATATTCACAAAGTCAGGTGATGCCCATGGCACATGTTTTTATGGAGGACACTTGCATCACAGAAGTAAATGCAGATTGCTGCTAGAATATAACGGGGACCCAAAAACACAGTTCCCACAAAGCAATACAATGATAGAGAAATAGGATTAAAATTTTGTCAGATAGCCTAGCTGACCAAAAATGAAGTCAGTCAGTTCAGAATTTCTGACTCTTCCTTAAAACACGGGAATTCCAGCCCTAGGGTTCAAAATGACTTGTTCAGAGAGAAAGGCCTGTAGCCCAGTTACGTGTGTTGTCATCTTGTCTGAGGTTTTCACCTTTCCATCTCAAGCATTGCCAGTGCTGCAAAGTTGAAATGACAGACAGGTTTCCAGGCCTTGATCCTTCCTTTGGGCCATGTAACACAAACGAGAGAGGTCACAGGTGTGACCCCGCCATAACTTGTGGGACAGGTTAGGATGTGTTGTGTGATCCTAGCTTAGTTCAGCAAAACCAACCACTCCAATTCAGCTTGAAGTGAATCAATGGTTTGGATCTTCCTGACTTCATCAAAATTTTCCTTAGGGAAATCTGACTTGGTAAAAATTCTGCTTTTCTTTGGAAAAATCCTACTGATGGAAAACTCCCACACAGTAATAGTAGTGACCTCAGAGATAACCAGCCATGTCCATGCTGGCTTTCAGCATATCTTCTCCCTATCACTCTATCACTTGAAAAGCAACAGCCCTCATGCTGTCCAAGACAGCCTGGCCTCACCTGGCTAAGGGGGAAAGTGAGTTGCAGAGCTCTCAGGCTCAAAGAAGGTCTGCAGCTTGATGTTTGTTCTTCACACTGCTGTGGCAGCAGCAGGGGGAGCAGAAAGGCTATTGCAAGATCCTCCTGCCTCAAGACATGCAGGGTTTACATGAGCTAATGCAGCTGAAAAAAACACTAGGCAGACTGGGGTCATTTGTAGCGGGGGGAACATGACTTAGCATGAAGCTCTGCTTCATGATCGGGGTATCTAGATAGGACTGCAGGAGTCTAATCATCCAGGACAGATTTAAAGCCATTGTATAGCAGCATGCACACCTACTACTTAATAAAGTTGCCAAATGTAGGGCCACCAGATTAGGTACTCTCATAATAGTCATTAGTCTTTCATCTTTCAATACTCAAGCAGAGAGAAGTGAAGTGGCTGGTCCAAGACCACAAAAGCCTGATGATGAATTTACCTACTGCATCTCCTGAGCACCTGGGAAATCCTGGGGTCACAGCTCCAGCTCTGTGATCAAACCATTGAGTCAACACCATTCCCAAATACCAGAATCACGGCAAGTCTTTTGATACTAGCAGGGAATGCAACTGTATAACATACACATCTACATGCATTCTGCATACCCTATATTGATGTTAGGCAGCCTGGATGGATGTTTTCCCACTTCTTCAGTTAGATGCTTAACACATCTACTGAATGTAATAGAGTTGCGGAATGAACACCTTTTGGAAATGCTTTTGCCATTCACTGCCTCTTTTACGTGATACTTAAACTCTTGCCCCCTGCATACCCAGGGCTGTGCTTGGATATTGCATGCACTGCAGCAGAGCCCTGGGAACCGTGCATTTTCTTGACTCAACCACACTCTGCAGCCCTATTTGCTGCCCACTCCCCTGGGCTCAGCCTTCAGCTCGGTAGCTGAAATTGCTCACCCTCAGGCACAGCACACTCGACTCTCCCACTCTTGAGAATAAAAGCATTTTGGTACCTCAGTCGCCAGCCCAAGCTGATGACAGGGTGAGAGAAATCTCTGCTTATTCCTTTTCCCCATCTGTTACACATTAACAGGCAATCAATTAGGGAACCACAGGGAGAATATGATGGCTGTGCTGGGGAAAGGGGGTTGGAAGGAAGCACTCTCCCTTCTTGGGATTAAGTCAGCTGACATATCACCCAGGCTGACACAGGCTCTAGTTACTGCCACCCTGCATCATTTTCTTTTGATTTCCTCTGAAAACTCTTCAAAAGTTCCTAGGTCTTTTTCCTTCTCTCCAGGTTAGGCCTCTCTTCCGCTCTGCCACAGGGATGCTCCAGTATCGCTCCCATAAGAGGTCAGTTTTTCAATCTCTTCCTATATAAGGAGCCCCTAGGGCTTTGCGTCGGAGTACTACCCTATCCCTCCTTTAGCACCTGAATGTGCCAAAAAGAAACACTGGGAATGGGTCCAAGTGCTGGAGGAGGGACAGAGCCAGTGCTGACAGTGAGAAGTCCAAGTGAAAGTTCACATTCAGTCACAGGAGAGTTAGCAATGACAAATCACAGAAACTCTGTCAGGGAACAGGCCAATGGCCTAAAGATGGCCATGCTTTGCACATGGCATAATAAAAGAGGAAGAGTCAGTGGGGCAATACAGAGTGATTATTTCCACAGCTGAATAATAGTAAGGACAGACATCTAGAATCTAATAAATTAAGTTAGAAATAGTGAATTCTGCAGAGACCTGAACTGCACCCTGTACTGCTCCGTCCACTCCAGAGTTGAACATCCCTGGTGACAGAGTGTAATCAGGCCTATTCAATGAACAAAAATAAAACGAGTGCCCTCCCCACACGTGCATTGCTTTCATATCACAGGAGACAAGGAAGTGTTGGTGTGGTGGATTGACCCCAACCAGCAGCCAAGTATACACACAGCTGCTTGCTCACTAGACATCTGTCCTCACCATGGCTGGGTAAAACCAATACACTTTCCACTGGAAGGTGAATGATCTTGTCCTTTTTCCAGCTTGAAAGTGTAAGAAATAAAGGGAGTATCTGTACATCCAGACATGATTGCTCACATGGGGCCTGCTTGTGTAAGTACACCCAAACATCCATGGATATTGGAGTTTGCCTGGATGTACTCCCATTTTTGGCCATACTGCTGTACCTGTGTGTGTGCACATCTGCAGCATACCTTTGGCAGTCAGGACACAGACATACACCTCATATGTGAATTGTATGTGCAGGAGCAATGCACTGCAATTCACCTACACATACATGCACTGAGGTTTTCAAAATCACCTGAGGAACTTCTCATCCTTAGTAAGACTGACAAAAACTGGGTATCTCTATCTGCTTCAGTGCCTAAATTTTTTATCTTCAAAGAAGTTGCATCTTAATGAAAAGGGCTGATGGAGCTGGAAAAGGAGGAACACAGGATTGACTCTTATCCAAGTGCCCTGTCCATGAACCCATAGCCACAAATTAAGACTGGCAGGACAGAGTGAGAACCTCCCTACTCCTGTAATGCTGGAGCTTTCACCTCAAGGTACAGACATTTCTAAAGATGCCATCTCTAGGCAGGGGCATCTACTCTTCAAATGGGCCTTAAAACCACCTTCAGAGTGCAAAGCATTTCCTTTCCAGGCCTCACTCCACTAGCAGCCACATTATCAGGGTATCAGTGTCACTAGCAGAGGCAGTAAGATCCACTAGGCCAGATAACCAAGATCTGGTAGCCAGCCAGGCTAGGAACTTGGCAAAGGTTCCTACCACCACAAAGCCTAACTTCATGTCCAGGTTCATTTCAAAGGACCAGAGCTGGACAGGAGGAGAGAGGAGGCATACAGGTGAATTACATTTACCCTCCTTTGCCCCCTTTTACGTGACACAGAAACACTGCAATCTCAGCAATGTCTGGGGCCACCTCCCTATTTTGCTATGGAGTGTATGTCTCAGTTTCCCTCCGCTCCCACCATACCTTGAATAGTCCTCTTGAAGAAGGCTTTGCATGCCTCACAGGAAGCTACGCCGTAGTGGTACCCAGAAGCAATGTCCCCGCACACCAGGCACAGCCGTTTGGGGATTGCATTGAGCATGTACTCGCACTTGGTGGGCGAGTCCTCCATGATGGCGCTGGCACAGTCGTCGTAACGCTTACGGCAGGACCCACCGCCAATCCCCGTGCCATTGAACATGGGTGGTGAGTCTAGGCCATTGGGGTGGCCACCCATGGTGATGCCATAGCCACCGCTAGCGTCGGAGGAGCCACTTGGGCTGTGGTGGCTGATGGCGTCGATGCCGGAAGATGGGCTGGAGGGCTCGGTCTTGATGAAGGACCCACAGCTGGAGGAGAGGTGCCGCTCCTCCGTGGCCATTCTGCCAAGCAGCCTGCAGGGAGAGAGCAAAGGCACTCAGCGGCCTCCCGGCCAAAAGTAGTTCCAGGTTGGTCAAAAGACAGCCCTCCTTTTCCCACCTCAGTGCAACTCCAGTTGGCTAAGGCAGTTCAACACAACCCCCCACCCCCCCACACGTACTTCTCCTTCAGGAATATCAGTACAACTCACTAAGAACAGCCCGCTTTCTCCCCACAAACTCACACTAGAATAAAGTCAAGGCTGTTTGTGTAGATCACAATTTCAGGCTGTTCACAGGCTGCAGAAAGAAATGAGCCAGTCTGTAGCAGGCCAGGTAAAAAAGATGTTTGGTTAGTTCCGGATGCACTGCCCTAGCTCTAAGCAAAAAATTCACTAACAGACCCTGCAGGAAGGACCTGCTCAGATTGAACTTTCATTTGTAATACAGAAGTCTTTGATTAATTTTCATGTTGGATTCCTTCCCCATGCCTCACTATCATCACTAAAAGGGGATCTTAGAAACTGAAGGAAAATCATCTGATCAAAAGTTTCCTCCAGCTTAATCTTAAATCTTAATGGTTCTATTTACTAGTTTTCCTGGTTTCATCTGAGATAGAGTTAATTTTTTGCTAGTAGCTGGTATAGTGCTATGTGTTGGATTTAGGATGAGAATATTGTTGATAACACACTGTTGTTTTTAGTTAATGCCAAGCAGTCAAGGACACTTCAACTTCTCATCCTGCCTTGCCAATGAGAAGACAGAGGGCGCCCAAGAAGCTGGGAGGGGACACAGCCAGGACAGCTGACCCAAACTGGCCAAAGGGATACTCCATGCCATATGATGTCATGCTCCATATATAACTGGGGGGTGGGCTGGGAAGCAGTATGGCTTGAAAACTAACTGAGTATCAGTTTCAGATGGTAAGCAATTGTGCTGCGCATCACTTGTTTTGTATATTCTTTTATCATTATTATTGTTGTTTTTATTATTATTGTCTTCTTTTTCTGTCCTATTAAACTGTCTTTATCTCAACCCACAAGCTTTACCTTTTTTGTTTCTTTTCGATTCTCTCCCCCACCCCACTGAGGGGGAGTGAGAGAACAGCTGAGTGGTGGTTTTAGCTGCCAGCCAGGTTAAACCATGACACTAGTATAATGCTTTTGCATGGAGACACTTCTCTCAAATTCCAGCTTCTTAGAGAGGAGGTTATGCTCTTAAGTATATAGAAAGGACTACATCTTTACCAAATTTGCAAGATCTTCTTAGTTATTGTAGTCACAAATAATCTTACTCCTTATATAAATGTTCAGTCTTTTTTTAGAAGACTGTTAATTTTTATGATATCTTACAGCAGTGAGTTCCAGATATTACTTGTGTAGTGTATGAACAAACAAAAAATCCCACTTTTAATTGCCCATACTGTATTTGCAGCCTTTCAGGCTCCCTGAACACACCTTGACTCTCAGGAAATACACTTTTGCCATGTTCTCCTCATTCAGCTTTTTATTATCTATATAATTGTTCTTCACATCGAAGTTTTTGCAGGCCTCTTATCTGCTTCATCATCCATCTCTGAACTTCCTCTAGTCTGGCTATTTCTGTTCAGTCCAGAATAAGAGTTCAATGAGCCAGCTCCTCAGCAGCACGAAACTGGCACTGCTCCATCACTCCTCCAGCTGAAGGTCTGGACAGTAGTCAAGACAAAAGCATGCCATCAATTACCTACTGACATTACCTTATTTTCAATGTTATTTTTCAGCCTTTCTGTTATATAACTCCTTACATTGTTTGCTTTTTTTTATCTTTAAATTAGAACTTAAATTGTTACCATTTCTTCAACAGAGAATATCAGCAAGTCACTGCAATCCTCAGATCTTTTCCTGAGTTCCTACAGTTAATTTAGAATCCATTAAGAAGTATGAAAAATCAAATTAATGCCTTCTGGTGTGCAATGTTTTGCAATAGTCAACAGTGTATTTCATCTACCCCTGTGCTTTCCATTCACCCAGCTTTATTAGGATCCTCTGGAGTTTTTCGGTCTTCCTTGATAATTTGATGTCATCTGCAGAGTCTTATTGTTCACCCACTTCCCAGATCATTAACACATGGATCAAACACCACAACACTAATCTTTATGGGCGATTCGGTTAACCTTTATCATGCTGAAAATTGACTTCTCTTTCTTTTCTGGGTAGGGTATGTCTACCCTTTCTTTTCTGTCTCAGACACTTTTTAATTGATAATAGTATTAACCTGAGAGGTTAAATTTTCCCTTCAGCAAGATAATTTGTCAAAGGCTTTTAAGAAAACCTAAATACACACATTTTCCTGATGATATGTCCAAAGAATTCTGACTGGGGATGCTTGACTTTTTGTCTTGGAAGCTCTGCTGGTTTAAAGTTACCATACCATGGTCATGTGGGTAATTTCTATTTCAGTTTCAGCCTATTTACCTGGTATTTGTGGCAACTCCTTCTGCCAAGAGGTCAAACCCATCAGGGGACAGGACAAAACATTCTGTGATACAGCAAGGCTGGAGTGCACATGTATATACATCACATCTCTGTGTGTGTTGATATGAATGTACATGTTTGATATGCAGCAAATTCACAGTCCTGCATCCTTATGATCTCATTTGACCCAGCTATCTCCTAATTCTCCCTTCTCTGTTTCATCCTTGATGTTTAACCTCATCTCCTATCTCTGGGATCGATCAGCCAAGTTTGTCACTTGGCAAGACTGTTGACCTTGAGAGTATGGGCAGGCATCTCACATTCCTCAGCTGCTTTCCCTGGTTTTACTTGAGAGGAATCCAGAGTTTGGTCCCTCTCAGAGACAGCGTGATGAGTTGATGAATGCCCACGCTTTGACCAGAGGGTCACACTGGACTAGAGGCCATGGAGCAGTTACAGGAATAATTGCTGCAAGTACATTCATCTTTAATCCTGCAGGGCACCTAGACAGCTTGCAGATCATCTGGTGTAATGCCAGCTGACTGTGTGGAGGAAGATGAAGCTTTGCTAGCTGAGACCAGATCTTAGCATCTCACAGCAAAGCTGAAAGCTGCTGTGCTGGTCAGATTCTGGAACCTTTCCTTACACGAGAAGTGTGTTTGCAATAAAAATCTGAAGATCATTGGGCACAATAACATGAAATTACGGTCAAAATGGAAGGCAAAACCACCATAAAACACTGTTCTGCACTGAGGACCTCCACAGTAAAAGGAGTTGGAGTTGTAATGTTAAGGGCAAACCAAGGACAACACTATGAAAAAGGTATGACAAGGAGATGATCTGTACTGTCAGATTCAGTCAGCGGAGTACAAATCCCAGCTTCAGTCTCTTAAAAAGCACAAAATTCCAGAGGACCTCATGAGGACCCAGAGGTATTTCCCTCCACTGGGGGAAAGGAAAAAGAAAAAAAAAAAAAAAAAAAAGATCAGTCTCCTAGGACCAACTCACTTCTCAACTCACAACCTCAATTAAGGACCATTCCTCCCCAAGGCGGGCAAATAGTGACTGATGGTGAATCAAGGATAGCAACAAACCCCCAAACCCCCTACATCCTTGCAGCTGAGGATGCTACTGTTCCCTTCCAGGAGACAATAATATATAGTGAGTTCTGGTTAGATGTGAATGCATGCTTTAGACGCAAAAGTCCTTAACACCAAGACAGATCAAAGATCATAGCTAAGGTGACTCCAGCCGTTCCAAAGCTTGTGTTTTTCTCTTCTGGCCTCTGGAACAACTTGCATAGTTGATTATTGCTGGGCAGCACACACTGAGTTAAGTCTCACCAGCTTTGACTTTCTGCAAGTCTCATGGAGATCCCGTGGTGATTTTTAAACAGACTCAGAGTGTCCCCTGCCAATGAAATACAACATCTTGAACTTCAAGAAGAACAGCTAAATGTTTTTTGCAAAGAGTTTAAAGTGATGAACAGCCATTTTGCTCAGCTCTAGTTACCTTAATAGGAATGTAAAAGGAGAGAGACTTGATCCAGCACTCCTCCATGCTGGCACAGGAAACTCCGTTACTATTTCTGTGCCCATGTAACAGGCTTAGAGGTTCTAAACATTTCGTTCTTTTCACCTTTCCTCATTATAGGTCATTCCCTCTAATCCCTTTAGCATCTTTGTGGCCCTTCTCTGGATTTGTTCCAACTTGCCTGGGTCTCTTTTGCAGCAAGGTGCCCCAAATTGCACAGTGCGATGCCACAGCACTACAAGGGAGAGTCACTCTGGAAAGCACACAGCCAGGCAGACATATGGACAGACTGAGCAGTAGCTTTGCCAGACATCAGGTTGCACATCAGCTCACATCATTTGATAGCTACTGTCTCACTGGGACCTCTCTGAACATAAGCTGCTTTTGCCACCGTGCTCTGCACAACATGAAATTTGGAGATTCTCCTTGTTCCAAAGTAGATGCAGTATCATCTTTAAACCACACACTCCTAATTGCCACTTGTTTTACCAAAGCCTGTTAATAATGCTCATTTTTGCAGCCTAGCTCTTCTTTTTTCTACTCTGATTTTGTTCTAGTATCTTTCAGTTGTGTCAATTGTAAATTTTAGAACTATTCCTTTTACATTTTCCCTCAGGTCACTAATGAATATTTAAAACCAAAACACTGGCCTTTTGGACACCACCTTTGCAGAAGGATAAAGAATGTCTCTAACCCTTCTGTTTACACTCTGTCAGCTAATCCATGATTCATTTCACAGGATTTGTATCAAAACCAATTTGATCTAATTTCCCTAATAAGATCTTGCACAGCTTTGTGTCAAAAGCCCATGCATGGTCCAGACAGTCTATCCACTGCATTCCTTTTCCCCACTAATTATCTAATTGTATCAAGAAAGGTTATTGTCTGCTGTACTCCTGTTTCATAAACCCACTGCTGTTTATCACTAACAACGTTATTAGCCTTTATGTGCCTGTAACTGCCCTCAGACAAGCATTGTCCGATCCCAGTGATTCTGGATGTAAATATGCAGGTTTAGACCAAGTCAAGATTGTGCTTTAGTT